AGCCCCTCTTCCGCCCCTCCTACTGCCACGAGCCGGGCGGCCCCGCGGCGTGAGCGGCGGCCCCGGCGGGACAAGGAGCCCTTTCCCTCCAGGAACGGGCGGGAATCAGCGCACGCGGGCAGGATGGGCGCCCTCCTCGCGCGCCTTGCCTTGGCTCCTGGGACCGTCTCTGCCCCGTTGCGGTGCCTGGGACCTCCGCACGGCTCCCAGGGAGCCCGACCGCCTGTTTTGGGGGGAACATGAACTCTGGAGAGCGGTGATGTCTCCTAAAGGAAAACGTTGCCTGTCCCTGATCCTTGCGGCGTGTTGGCTCTTCCCTGCACTGCAGGCTGCGAGCGGCAGGGCAAGCGCTGGAGCCTGCGCAAGCCCAGGGCACCCAGCGGCCTCCGGAGGAAGGGACTGGAGGTTGCAGCTGGCTCCTGTCTCAGGGTGTCCTGAGAAGTCAGGAAAATAGCTGACTGTTGCAGGAGTTTTCTTGAGAAGAGCAGGAGGACTCTGCTGCTGCTCGAGTGCCGCCTCGCTGCTGGTTGTTCGCCAGGAGACGGATCGGCTCCAGTCCTGTGGAAGTGGTGATTTCACCGTGTGTTTGGCACACAGATGCTGACGGAGCACTATTACGGTAGTTTGACACTGGATATGGCACCTCATCCCCGCGGGGCTGTGCGAGGCAACGTGGGCGAGCGCTCAGCATGCAGCCCAGGGCTGCGGAGCTGCTACTGCATCTTCCTCTGCAGCAGGGCTAAGGGTGGAGAGCAGCCAGCCCTGGAGACAGCCCCCGCTAACGAAGCCTTTTTTATTTTTATTGTTTTAATCTCAGATAGGCTGAGAAAAAGGGATTCGCCCTTTTGTTCCCCAGGAGCTCCAGGTGTTTCAGGTCCGTGGGATGGCAGCAGGAGCCTGCGTGGGTGGCACAGCAGGACAGCAGCATCGCGGCTTCCTCAGGGCAGGGAGAGGAGCGTGAAGGAAACAACAACTCCCAGGTGGATCCTTTCCCCTGAGCCCAGGCCTGAGGCTGCTGCTTCCAGAGCCCCGGGCCCGGCTCCGCGGGGTCCCCTCGGCTCCGTCACCGCTCGCGGCTCTGCCCTGTGCCAGGGCCGGCAGCGCCGACACGGGGGCGGCAGCTCCATGGGCCCCGCAGCCCCTTCCCCGCTCCCTGTCCCCCTCACAATCATTTTGTACCGTCTTGATTCCACTCAGGGCTGGGTGGGGGGGTTTGTTACTCTGGCAATAGCCAGTTTGTACAGGCGTGGTTCCGGATGGTCTAGAATATTTTATAAAAAATGGTGAAAAAATATAAATATATTTTTAAAAATTGATCTTTTCCTGGCAGTCAGAAGGAAAACAAGGCGGACTCAC